GGCGGCGGCAGGGGGGGCGAGCAGGCGGCGCCGGGGCCCGGCGGGGGACGTGTCGGCGACGGGCATGTTGGATAGGACGACCCAGGGGGGTGGGGGCGCAGCGAGCTCCAGGTCAAAGGTCGCCTGTTTTTTGGGGGGACGAGTGGGGCGCCGAATGGTGCAAAACGGGGCCGAATTTGGTGGACTGCAGGAGAACGTGCAGGAGGGGGGCGCGGGGATGCCGAGTGACAGCCGTGGCGGGGTGAAGCCAAGGAACAGGGTGTGTATGTGTGTGTGGAGGGGATGTCATGCGTAACGGTCGCTAGCTGGTGTGCAAGGGGAGCCGGACGCGGGCCAGGGCTAGGCAGCCTGATGCAGATCAGTCACGACCAACTACACATGTATGTGCGAGCGGGGGGGTCTGGAGGTGGCGAGCCTGAGGGGGCGCACCTTGAGCGAAGGCTCGTCGAAGCAGGGGAAGGCCTTGCGCGCCCCCAGGGACTCAAAGTGAGTCGAGGCCATCACATGCGCTCGCCCGGCGTAGTCTTCATGAAACGCGGAGGCGGGATGGATCAAAGGCGGCGGCGGGGCCGAGGGGCGGGGGTTGGGAGTGCCGGGAGCGGCGCGGACGGCTGGTGTGTTGCTGGGGGTAATGCAGGCTGCGGGGTGCAGGGGCGCCTTGTTGCCGGCCCTGTCCGGCCCGCAGCCCTCAATCTCACTCGTGTGACAATCTTTGACTGGCACAAGCAACAGCGCACGCGGGCTCACCCACAAACTCACACGCACACACACTCACACTCACGCACACACGTACACATACCCACACTCATGGGCACATGCACACACACATTCGCGCACAAATGCACACACCCACACACACACACATATCCACACACATGTCCACACACACACACACACTCACACACACACACACACCTCGCGCACATACACGCACCTTCACTCATACACAACACAGACACCCACGTACGCGAACAACACACCACAAAACCTCCACTGCCCTACCCGTGTACGAGCTCCTGTAAAATCCATCAAGGGCCTCCACCAGGGGGTAGCTGAAATAAAGCAGCAGGGTCACCTGGGGGGGTGGGGTTGGTACCAGTGACAGGCAAGGGAGAGGTCGGCGGGGAACCCGGGAGACAGTCGGGGAGCGGGGCAGGGGAGCAAGACACCGGAGGAAGGTGGGGGTTGTCCGTATTTGCACTATTGGGGAAAGGCGAGGGTGGGCGCAGTGCTGGCGGGAGATGGGAGAGGGATGGAAACAGAGTGGAGGTGGGGAGAACGTAGTTGGTTGGGTGACGTGCGCAGTGGGGGCGGAGTGGAAGGCAGAAGGGATGGAGGGGAGGGGAGGCTGGCGGAGGGGGGGTGGGTTTGCGAGCTCAAAAAAAGACTAAGGTGAAGCGGGAGGGGCAGGGTAAGGGTCCACGGGACAGAAATGCATTGGGGCTGCTATACACCAAGGGCTGCACCAAGCAGGCACAGCGCGCGCCCCCTCAGGTGCTGAGACAAAGGCCCAGGAACGTGCACACGGGCGGCGCAGGGACGGCGTGCGGCGCTGCGCACGTTGGCCGGCGCAAGGGGCACTGCCTCTTCAAACTTGAGTACGATCTGCTCAAATTCCGTTGTGTTGTGCAGCGCTCCTGGGGTGGGAAGTGAAACATTTTGTTACGTGGCAAGGTCGGATTTGGGAGTGACGCCATGGTCGCTGACATGCACAATGAAGAGGGTAGGAAGCTTCCTATTTACGGGAGAGCGTCAAAGAGTTTGATACTGTAGCAAAAATAAGGGATTGGCGGGAGGTTTGCAGGAGTAAGGTCGAACGACGGCAGGGGTGCAGGGAGGGGAGGGGCCGGGGAAGCGTGTGGGCTTGCAGGGACGCGAGCGGCGCGCGAGGGCCGAGTGAAGGCCGGGGCCGACCTCCTAGCTTCCGAGCAGCCGCCGGGCGACGGACGATTTCCTTCTGGCTCGTCAGAGCACTGTGCTGTCGCACGCCGCGGGTCAGGACCGCGGCGCCTCACCCCGCGAGCTCTCCCGGCCCCGCCGCCTTGCGAGCGCGCCAGCACTACATGACAATCCCTCATGCTCGCGGCGCCCTCCTCTCCCACCTGCAATGAATTCCCCGTCCTCCTCTGGCCCAACGAACAACCGCACGGCGGTCACGTTGATCCCTTTGGAGTGGACCACGATGCACGGCGTCGCCACCGCCACTGGCGCGAGCGCGATGCGCACAGACCCCTCCACGCTGTAAGGCGGCAATCTCAGATCGGTCGTAATTCGTAGATTGTAGTGATCTGGGGTGACAATTTTGGGGAGGTACAGCTGGTTCCAACTGCAGTAGGGGCTCTTCGCCGCGTCTGCTTGGATCGGCGTCCGCTTGCCGGCTGCTGCTGGTGTGGGGGCTGCTCCGCCGCCGCCGCCGCTGCTGCTGCCGCTGCCGCCGTCCGACGGTGCGGCGCCGCCCGCGTCGAGCCGCTGATCTGGCCCGCTTGACTGCTGCCGCCGCTGGCCGGACGCCGGGGCGGCGACGGCCACGGCCACCACCAGTACCACCATGGCCAGGACCGATGAGAATTGGATGAAGCGCCGCTGCCTTTGTGAAAGGCGGTACCACCTGGCATGACCAGCAATGTCGTGCATGCATGCATGCATGCACGCATGCGATGCGTCAATTTCAGTTCGGCGTGATGCGTGCCATGGCGGCCGGTGCGATGCATGCGTGCTCGGCGCGGGTCTGGCACCGTGGCTGGGAGACCAGTCGATGCGGCCATGCAGCGCCGCTGCCTCGCGTGGGCGCTGACATGCGCCACCGCGCCACCCGCGTGCGTCGGACGCGCCGCCGCAGCAGTGTACGACTGAACTCATACCGTCGCAGACGCAGGCGTCTCTGGGCTGCGTCAAGGCCCACCCACCAGTCCGGCGGCGCTTGGCACCGCTCCGGCAGCCAGCGCGCGCAGCAGCCGCACTCGATGCCGCACAGCTGCCACCTGCGTGTGGCGTGGTGGCGCTGCCAGTCCAATAACATGTCATCCTCATAATCCTCGTCGTCGTCGCCGGCCCCAAGCTCCATTTCAAAAGTGCTGTAATGGGGGTCATCCGACCGCGGCTTGCGCCCGCCGCCGCCCAGCAGCGATGCCGTGCCTTCGCGGCTGGCGGCGCCGCGGCTGCGGTGCGGGGGGAGGGGGGTTTCATAAGCATGCGGCCCGCTGGGGTCGGCACGGTGCATCAGTTGCGCGCAACCGAAAGGGCCGCGCTGGCAGGTGCCGGCGGCAAGGGCAGAATCGGCGTCTTAGGGGCTCTCACAGCGGCATTGGCATCACGTCCTCAAATCTATCCGCCATTGCCTCCTAGAGTATAAGATCCCTTCGGATGATCCGGACGGGCTCTGATCTGGCGATCCTACGTGCTGGTCAAGTACAGGCCGCGATACAGAATGCAATAATCACTGCTCTGATGTGCGACCCCGACTTTCCGCACCACACGCTTCCGGGTGAGCGTGCAGCTTGACGCATTGCGGCGCGCTCAGTCCCCTTGTATTTTCAAAAAGGACAAGCATGCAAGCTGACCGGTTGTCTTTGGTGTGTGGCGCCACGGGAACCCTTTCCTCCCGCGAATGCAACCTTTGACCAAGCTGCGCACGACAGTGGAGCACTGGGCGACATCAGCGTGAAGAGGCCACCGCAATTTTGGGCTGACAATACTTGGGAGCATGCCACACACCCTCACTTCAACAGTTCCCGGCAGTTGAGGAGCGATGCTGCAACTTGCGTCATCCCCATTCGTTGCGATCCGTTGCGGGCGTAGTCATCACAGTGTTGTTGCAGCAGTGGCTGTTTTACAGCGGTGCAGCCTCCCACGCCCTCTGCCACGTGTGCCATGTGCAAAGCATAGGTAAAATTGAGTTAGAAGTGCACCTCTCAGACAGCCGAGAAGCTGCGCATGGTGTTGGCTCCTGCGTGCGTGCTTACCGTGATGCCCAGCCTGTTTCCCCCACGCAGGTGAGCCCGCGGAGGCGGCGGCGGGGAGCGAAGAGGGCGAGGGGATTGGAGAGGGGAAGGGCGGCCGGGGAGCCCGGGCCGCCGTCTGTGGCCTTGGGCTCCCAGATCCTGTCGTGGACCGAGGGCGGAGATGCCGGCGGCATCAGCAGCGGCGACAGCAGCTTCGACAGCAGCGGTGACGTCGGACGGCGGCGGCGCCGCTGACGGTGCCAAGGGCGGCGCCAGAGACGGCGCCAGGGCAGCCTGCTGTTCGCGTGGCGGCATCAGCCACGGCAGCGCCGGAGGCGGCGGCGCATGCCGGGTTGGCTAGCACCAACAGCAGCCAAGGCGCCGCCCTCACGCAGGCGAGCCCGCGGCGCATGTCATTTGCTCAGCATATCAGCAAGTCGCTGTACCACCGGCGGCGGCTGACACTAGCAAACACCACGCCCGGCGTCGGCACACCGGAGGAGCGGCAGCTGCACTTGCAGCTATACTACAAGCACACCAGCAGCCGCAAAACGCGCTGGCAGCCCATGCTGATTGAGTGGGACCAAATTGCAGAGGAGCAACGGCAGCTTGGCAGCAGCAGCATCAGGCCCAAAACAACAGTGCACAAGCTTAAGCAGCACCAGCAGCAGACCCTGGACACTGCCCTGCACCAATCTCTCCCCCAAACAGGCGTTGGCGAGGCGGCTTCAGCGGCGGCCGCAACGGCGGCGGCTGCGGGCGCAACAGGCCCGTTGCTGCTGCGTGAAGGA